GCCGGTACAGCCCTTCCCACCGCCGCCGGGAGCACAGCGCGCCTCGGGTCCGCGGGCCGCCGGCTCCTGGCCCGCCCTCCGGCCCAGCCGCGACCGCCAGCCCCGCCGCGGAGCCCCGGCCCGGCCTCGGGCCGCCGCCACCACGCCGCGCGCCGTACTCCGCGTCAAGAATGGGGCGGCCAAGCTGCCCAAGCCGGCCGCTGCCGCCGCCGCGGCCGAGGCGCCGGGCGCCGGTGCGGGCATGGAGCGCTCGCAGAGCCGCCTCAGCCTGTCCGCTTCCTTCGAGGCGCTCGCCATCTACTTCCCGTGCATGAACTCCTTCGACGACGAGGACGCGGGTAAGCGCGTGGCCCGCCCCCGATCCCCGGGGGGCGTCCCGGGAGCCAGATCCCGAGGCCCCCTCCCCAAGCCGACTCTTTCCTCCCCACCCCCAATCCCAAGCACGCTCGGGGATGCGCCCCCAGGGTCTTCTTTCCCACCCACAGGACCTCGGATCTCTAGGGTGTGGGGTCCCCTCGCCTCCCGCCACCCCACAGGGACCCCTAGATCATCAGCATTCACCCCTTTTCCGCAAGTGGGCCCTTTGGGTCGCCTGGACTTAGCGCTCCCTATTCACCTGCGCCTACTGAATGCTCCCGGTCTTGTCCCTGGATCCGACCCGCCACCCTCCCCGGGCCTCTTGTATGTGCTCACTCCTCAAACCCCGGGGCTTTGGCCGCCTCACCCCCGGGGCTCCGACGCGCCCCCCGCCTTTGGAGGTGGCGCGCAACCTTACCGCTCCATCTTTGTCTTGGCTGCATCCATTGACTCCCTGCACAAGACCCCCGCCCTGCGCCCAAGGCCTTGAGCGCCCCTGTTTGTCTCTCCTCCTCTTCCCCCAGTCCTTTAAGGACTGGGGCGGACCGCGAGGGGACCGGTCGGGTGACGGCCTTTCCTCTCGGTTCTTCCCGGCGGTTCCCCGAGGGAGGCATAGGGCGGCACCGACTCTACACCTGCGCGCCCTTCGGAGTGTGCCCCTGACCCCGGGTGCTCTTGTGTCTGGAGTAGCCCTTCTAGGTGGGCTGAACCGGGCCACCATACAGCGGCCCGGCTCTTGGGGGCCCTGGGACCAGGCAGAGGAAACAGAAGGGCTTCAGATCTGGTTCTGCGGTGAGGAAGCGAAGCCACCAACAGGTGGGGTACCTGGAGGGCTTGGGTGCGAGTTCCCCAAAGAGTGCCAGATTGGGAGTTGGAATGAGGTTCCAGTCTTGCTTCTCTCCGTATTAGCCATGACCTTGAGCAAGTCATGCCACCCCTAGCCTCCACATCCTGATCTGTAATATGGGATGGCAGTACCTCAGACATAAAGGTAAAGTTAAAAGTGTTTTGTAAGCTGAAAATCTGAGAGTATTTTAATTCAATGAGGGGATGAAAGGGAGAGGGGTGTGTGTGGTGGGGAGGAGTAAAATGGTTTCATGGACGCTTTTGAGAACTTGATGAAAATATGGACAAGTTCTCCAAAAAATACACATAGGCACCAACCAAAAATTTTTGTCCACAGTTTTAGGGAGTTCATGGGCCCTGCTTAAGACTCTCTGCCTGCAGGGACCCTTATCTGGTCATCCCGTTATCTGATAAGCCTTGGATGGAACGGTGGGTGATGGGTGCTCGTGTCTTTCTGCTGGAGCAGGAGGCAGGTGGGGAGAAAGGGAGAAGGTTCTCCAGAAGAAAGTGTTGGCTGAGTGAATGAATGGGGCTATGTGAGGCTGACCCCTGACAGACCGGTCTTGCTGTTGACCTGGAGATGGGGGTGGGGTAAAGATGGTTACTGCAGAGCCATTTTACAGAATCTACATTTTACAGAAAAAATAACTGAGGTTCAGAGGCTTAACTTCCCCCGTGATGCAGCTGAGGGCGGTTGTATTATTATTCTGGACAAGGCAAGGTGAGAAGAGGTGGAGGGGCTCTCCTAACGCAGTGGCCTCCTCTGGAGCAAAATCCGGGAGAGGAAGTCCCACCTGCCTCGGTGAACTGGCTCCCCCACGCCTCACTTGACGTTCAAGGACGCTCCTGAAGTTCCAACAGGCCACTTGGGTCACAAGAGGCAAGGTGCATCAGTGGCAGGGACAGGTGGGTTTTTCTTCAAAGTCATGCTCCGTGTCCTGGTTCAGATGCCTTGGTTATTATTGTTGGTTGCTGGTGACTTGCTCTGGTTTCACGTGAGTCAGAGTAGATAACTTCATGGAATATTAGAGATTTTTAAAGGTCCCTATTTTTTTTTTCCAGCGGGTTTCTTCAAATTCTTAAGTTTTTCACTTGGAGCACCTAGAAATCATCTTGTCTGACCCTTTTTCGCCCCCAGATTGGTGTGTGTGTGTATTTGTGTGAATGTATGCATGTGTGTGAGATTGAAGCCCCAGTGTGTGTGTGTGTGTGTGTGTGTGTATAACCCAAGGTCACCCAGTGAGGCAGGCACACAGCCAAGACAAAAATCAGGTTTCTGGTTCTCTTTCCAGTAAAACACTAGCCCTCTCTCTGAAAGAGGATTTTTTAAAAAGTCAAATCTCACTGTGTAGAAAATGGTTCCCAGGTGAAGAGGTCTCAGGGAGCGGCTGGCAGCCAGGAGTTTGGTTTGGGCATCTCATGCTCACTGTCTGCTAATCTTAAGGGATGCTTGGAGTTTGGGAGGGGGAAGGAGAAAGTGAAGTTTCCTTTCCGGAAGGCTAATGAGTGTCTGGTGAAAATTGGAAGTAGGGAACGTTGTCTTGGTGCTTAATTTCTCTTGTTCTTCTCAAAGTCATCAATTTTCTCCTAAAAAAAAATGCCCCTTGGATTTATTCTTTTAGAACGGCACCACCCTGAACTAATTTCGAAAAGCAGTTTGAATATCTCTCAGATACTGGACAGAGACTGCTCCAGTTGCAGGGCTGTCAGAATTGGCTTTGCTTTACCTTTTTCTTCTTTGCTCCCTCCCCTCACCAGTTTCCTGCCCCTCTGTCCCCGATGACTCAGAAGTGTCCCTGATGGGCCTCTGGCTCATCTGGGTGCCTCCCCTTTGTTGCTGCTTCTGACTCCTGTCCAATGCACCTTTTTCATCAACCGGATTGACTCAGAGCCATCTTCAGGGCTTACATGCCACCCTTCAGCTGGCTTCCTGATAAACTGTATGAGGAGGAGACTTTCATTAGCCTTAACTGGGCCAGAGCACTTTCCTGCCTTCGGCTTGGGAGCCTTGGATATTTTGTCAGCAAAGGAAGCTGCCCCTTCCACCCCCCTTTCTAGCCACCCTGTGGTTCAGGATGCTGGTCATGGCAGATTCCTAGAATTCCTCCCAAGAAGCATCTTCCATCATGCACTCTGAACCCATTACTTACACTGCTTTTGCCCCTTTTCACAAAGATGCTGAGGCTTTAGAGAGGCATGCTCTTGGGAGGCATTTTTTGTGTCTGTGTCTTCATGGCTCAGCCTTGCTGGTACTGGCTTTATAATTGAGGAGGGGTGGGGCAGGGAGGAGTTAGACACGTGACCTCTGCTTTTTCACGTCTATATTGTTGGTTGCTGGTGACTTGGAGGAAGAAAATAATAGCATGGACCACAGAGGGTCAACATTTTTTAAATGATTACCTTTCTCTAAGTATCCTCCTAGGCACTTTCAATATTGTTTTCTTTCCTCACAGCAATTCTATAAAATTAACATTTAACATTCCCCATTTTCAGATGAGAAAACTGAGGCACAGAGAGAATATTCTTCAAGGTCACTGAGCCGGGAAATGAGGGTGGTAGGATTTGAACTTGAGCAGTCTGACTCAGGCATCTGTGCTGTTGATTATTATGCTGTTTGTGCTACGAAAAGGGCTTAGTACAGTACCTGGCACTAGATAGGCTCTCAATACCTGTTAGCTCTTATCTTTCTTATTACCAAGTAAGACTTATTTCTGAGCATGACTGTAAAAAAGAATCTGGGTTTGAGGAGGAGGGGTAGCCTGGTTCTCAAAATGTTAGCTTTTATAATTTTAATAAGCTAATTTTATTGCACTGTTACAGCTATTCAGGCAGAGTTGGGCCCTTCTTCTTGGAGGGGGTTTAAAGATGGGATTTGGGGGACTTGCATGTGGAACAAGAGGGTGGGGAGCATGTAGCTCCCCATTTCCCTGTTCTCTTTAACAGTTAATTTTCATTACATCTACAGTCCCAGCCCTGCTACTCTGCCTTGGGGCACAGCTGGGGAGCAAGAGTGTCTTCAGTATCCAGCAAATGCCAAAGGGTGTTGCGATATCAGGGTCTGGAATTGAGGATGGTGGCCCTGAGTCTGACCAAGTGGTTTTGGCGTCCAGTTCTCCCCCACCCGCCCGGGACAGGGGCGGAGAAGCTGGAGCAGCCAGCTCCGATTTGCCCATAGGATGCTTCGATCCAGCGCAAGGAGGAAGTTGCCATGGCAACACAGGCCGGCTACCAGTCCCTCTCCTAGCAGTTCGGGCCACATTTCTGGGCTGGAAAGCCCTTTGTGGTACTGCCTTCTTCCGCTCAGACCAAATCTGGTGGGTGGGGTGGCGTGGTGGATGGGTCCCACAAACTAGTGCTAAAGCCCACTCCCCTTGTTTTTGGACGGAGGGGAAATGAGGGGGCTGTCTGAGTTACTTCTGGCTCGTGGGGTGGAGATACTCCTGTCTTGCCAGACAGATCTCAGCAGGGGTAATGAGAGCTCCAAATCCCGCCCCACCCCAGGCACCTGGAATGACCCCACTGGAATCCCCCCTCCGTTCCCCAATTTACTCCTTTTGGCAAGGTTTTCTTTCCCAGACCAAGTGCTAACTTTTGTCCTTGAAATTTGACCTGAGCTTTTTCTGGGAAACAAAATGTCCTGCTGTCCCATCCCTTCCCCCTGAGATGGTGGGAACAGAGTACTTCAGCCCTAAAGGGGGGCTGAGGCTGGGTGGATAAGGGGGAGTGGTGAGGGGGGAGGCCTTAAAATACCCTTCAGGATTAGGGCCACTTGAGGGCATGAGGTGGAGGCTTTGAAGCCTCCATTCCCACCCTCGTCCCTAGGGCAGGCCACTTCCTGTCCCCCCTCTGCCCCTTTCCCTAATTTACCACCAAGCACTGTAATCTCCTTTATGGGCTGGGAATTGGGCAGAACTCTTCTAGTTTTAGATAACTGAGGCATAGTAAAGAATCGAACCAGCTGTTCCCATCATTCAAGTTGTGGGTGTGTGAGTGTGTGGACCAAAACTACTTTATCGTAAATTACTCTGAAACAAGTATTTCAGAAAAATTGGGTGATGGGGAGTCATCCCTTCCCCCATTACACAGATCACTGGCCTGTGGATCTGCTCTGATGCAGTTCGAGCTCTTTCCTAAA